GCATGAGCTGTCTCCCTCTCTTCAGCTATTTTGTCAGAGGTGCAAAACTTTTTTTTTTTTGTGATGGAACAGGCAAGAGTGAGAAATCAACCCGTGATCTTAAGACACAAAGTGTGATACTACTTCTCAAGCTTCTAGACTTCCCTCGATATATGGGCTACAGGTCCCTGGGCAGCCAAAACCAAGGTTTAACCGGCTGCAGTCGTCCTCACTGTTTAGGAGAGTCTGTGATTCTCTATTCTGCTTCGATCAATTTAAAGCAGTAAATTGGCTATTGCTACTTTTTTACGAATACTCATGTCACTTTCTAGATGTCAGACACTGTTTTAGGTGTCTTGCAGATACTTATTCCTTCGTCATGGCCATCCTGTTCGGTAGACGCCATGTTTCATCATTTCTTTCTTGGCAGTGTCGCTTGTCTTTCTTACCTCAGCGAATGTGTAGCCTCCAAATAGCAATGCTTATCATTTACTTTGGGCCGCAGTCTTATTTATCGCCTTTCCCCCTCTAGTTCTCCAGGAGAAGTGTGACTCAAAGTGCTTTGAGTGCTTCCTGTGATTAAAAAATTTTAATGTAAAATCGCTAATTTTCTTCTCTAGTTTTTCTTTTTCTTTCCCTCCGTGTTCACCTGCATTGTTTTTAGTTTTCTTTAGAATATTTTCCCCTTGGGAAAAATGTAACTTGGAGAATATTCATCAAAACTAGTTACACTTTCTCGAAGTCACTCTGGTTGCTGAGAAGTGAGTTGTGTCACACCCCCGCTGCCCCTGCCCCTGCCCCCACTTACGTCCCCTTTGGCCCCATTGCTGTGCACTGTCTTTCTCTGAGATCTGCAGCTGCTTTCTGTTGAACTGAGAAAAAAGTCCAAACCTTCTCTCCTGACCCCTGAGGCTTTATTTCGTCTGTCTCTGTCACAGACACTGCGCTGTGGTTCAGTCGCGAAGGTTTTGGGATTCCTGTTCTGGTTTTTCTACTCGCTGGATGTTTGACCTTGGACACATTCTTGATCTCTCTGGGCCTCCGTTTACTCTTCATGAAAACAGACAACAGTATCTCCATCCCAGGACTTTTATATGTGTGTTAATGCATACAAAAGGCCCAGAACAGAACCTGGTACCTAGAAAGAACTGAGTAAATACTAATGCCTCTCTGCTTCCTCTTCTGTCTGCCTTCCTGACCTTTCACCGACTTCCTTCCGCTTGTGACGGCTGAAGGATCTTCACACATGCGGTTCCTACTACCTGGCCAGTTCTGTTTTCCATTCCTCACCTAGCTAATTCCTTATTCTTCTCACCTCTGCTTACCTGTCTGTCACTTCTCAGATGAGCCTCCCTTGAGCCCTAGGCTAATGCACTGTCACCTGTGATAACTGTCATCCCACAGTGTGCCACGGGCCCTTCACATCCACAGTTTCTGCGGATTCAGGCAACGGTGGATCAAAAATAATGGGGAAAAAATTGTATCTGTGCTAAACGTGGGCCAACTTTCCTCCTCGTGGCTCTCTGAACAGTGCAGTGCCCTATACAGAATTCACATTATATTAGGGATTTTAAGTAGTCTCCAGGTGATTTAAACCACATTGGAGAATTTTATTGAGATCGGAGCACCCAGGAGCATGCCACGCCCCTGTGGGGGCCCCAGGCCCCGATACTGGGGGTCCACTGTGCTTCCTGTGTCACCATTTGTTATTTTTTACCTAGGGGTGTGAGTACCGGAAGTCATGGAGGATGGGCCTATTCCTACGCAGCGCATTATTTGCTGGTGTCTGCCTCACTTGTGCGGCATCCCTTTCATATTTTCCTTCTCCTACAGACATTTGGGAGTCTAGCTCGTTAAGAGCCTCTTCTCTGTGGTGTGTTTTTAGGTGTCTTTCTTGTGATTCCTCCTTCTGTTTATTTAGATAATACGAGGAATGCATGATCACCTAGAAAACGCCCCTCTGCAGACTCGTTCTGTGGGGTGCTAGTTATTCCCTGTAAGCCTAATGGTAACTTTCTGGGGGAACAGGACAGAGGTAGAAACAAATCAGTAGAAGCAAACAGTAAAGTACAATAGGCAGGAGTTACTATATCTACTTACACATTTTTCTGTTATGGAAAGATAATTTTTTTCTTAACTATTTTGCACAGTGAAGATGAAGTTATTTCAGCCACTGGCATCCAGGGTAGGACCTTTGCAGAGCAGCTGCTATTTTTCCTGGCAGAGGGCACTGTGTGCTTCTCTGAAAGTGAGCGGATTGCTCTTTCTAAACTAACATCTTTTGCAGCTTTTGCATAGATACCTATCATTTTACCCAACTGGGACACATAACAAGAAAAACCCAGCTATAAGTAGAAATTTAAAAAGCACTAATCTGGAGAGAAAACTAATGATGGAGCCGGAGGGCTTGGTACTGAATGCAGGAATGTATTTGTTACTCGGACATATGTTTGCTGGTCCAATCCTGTCACCAAAAGATTTCTTGGCTTTTTAATCTCTCCTTTGCCCTCTAGGAGGCCCACAGCACTTTCCAGTGAAACGAGGGCCTCTCACCCCATAAGAAGCACAGTGGAGTCTCTGTAATCCCAAATCCAGCTCGGTGCCTGTTGAGTTGTGGAGACATGAAGTTCCCAGCCCCAGCTACAGCAAATACACAGGCCTGGATGCTGAGTTCTCACCAAAGCCAGATTCTAGCTGAGAATTCATTGTTCACACCAACGAGTCTTGCTCTCGGATAGTTTGACTCCCACCCATTGTGTAGCAAATATTACTGTGTCACTTCTTAGAGGACCACTTCCTGAATGCTGGAGTTGCCAGTCATCTCTCAAAAGCTGTGTTCATGGCCAGGGTTGGCAAGGGGATTTGGAGTTTTGTTCAGACAGCTTTGTCTGCTGAGAGACGGGAAAGAGGGTTCTCCAGGACATGACATACGTATTCTACAAAACATGTTCTATATTGAAGTTCTAAAAAATAACAGAGAGGGCCGAGGATTTAGCTCAGTGGTTCCAAAGCCTGCCTCGCAAGTGCAAGGACACGAGTTCAATCCCCAGTACCAGAAGAAGAAGAAGAAGAAGAAGAAGAAGAAGAAGAAGAAGAAGAAGAAGAAGAGGAAGAGGAAGATCATCATCATTATTATTATCATTTCTATTATTATTAGACAGAATCTATGCAGTTCAGACTGGCCTTGAAATTACTAGATAGCCCAGACTGGTCTCGAACTCACGGAGAGCTTCCTGTCTCAGCTTCAGCCCCGCAAGTGTGTGCCACCAAATCCAGGGAATCTTGAAATAATAGTCAGCACACGATTTTATCTTTTCCTTGAGCATTGTTTGTTAAAATGAAAATTATTCAGGCCACTGTGATTTCTTCAAAAAGCTTTAAGGGTCACAAATCCTGCCATTTAGTTCTGACTGATTCATATCAGAAGTAGTGTTCCATTAAGAATTTAAATTATTTTTTAGTTTACAGACAAGATCAGGTGTGTTCAGGATGCTATGGCTGTAGACTTAGTTTACAGAAATATTGAATTCACACTTAAAATTTTAAGTGTAATTCACTATATGAATTTGTGTATTGTAATTAATTAACTGAATAAAGGCTACTGAAGTTTGTGTCCTTTAAGTAAAAAACACTTATTTATAGTAACAAAAGAGTTTATGACTTATGAATCACAATTTATTTATTTTAAAATGTTTTCACTTTCAGCTCAGTACAGTTCAATAAATTTTTATTGTGTTTGACCTTTGGAGCTGCTCAATCTAATGACTCTCTTTAAATTCTTTCTTATCAGGTAAAATGGCACCTTAGCATGTTCACAGAGTAAACGTCATCAGGGAATGATAAATTCTTAGCCAAAAAGTGGCATTTAAATGGAGCAATGTTTGAGAAGAATGTGCTTTCCCTTCCTTTCCACATACAGAACGATGTTTTGGGCTGGGAGTGTAGGTCAGGGGTGAGCGTTTGCCTGATAGGCGCAGAGCCTTGATTCAATCCTTGGGACCCCAACAACAACCACAACATTGCAGGCCTTGAGATGTGAGTTCATTCACAGTTCCCAACGATGGCAGCCCCATATGCCTACAATGAGGACTGAACACACACACACTGGTGATAAGTCCAGTGTCCTCCTTTTTCAGAGGGCTCATGTGTTGACCAGATACAGCTTCATGGCCATGGGAGGGGTCCCTAGACTAACTCATCCTCCTGACCACTTCAGAAACCCTTGGTCAAGAACGGTTTTTAACAATCTTAAATTGAACCCTGCCTGGTGGTTCACACCTCCCATCCCAGCACGCTGAGAGGCTGTGGCAGGAGGATCACAAATTTGAGCCTAGCCTGGGCAACTGAGTGACCTAGCAAGAAAAAATAAAAATATCTGGGCGTGTAGCTCAGTGCAGGGGCGCTGGGCCCTATCCTCTTCTCTACCATCCTGTCGTGGTCCAGTAGAGTCTCTCTTAGCATCCCGACTAGGAATGTGCGAGTCATCATTCCCCGTGAACCTGTGCGACCTCACACAGTGACGGTTGGACTGGTGAAGCTTTGGATGCGTTGGACTTCATGACATGCATCTATTTTGTAGGTAGCACACACCGTCTTGTTGGTCACGGTCGTAATGCTCTGGATTTGTCAGCTGGTGTCAAAGCCATCTTGGTGTTGAATCCCAGTTCTGCCCATTTCTAACTATGGACTTGGGCCTCGTTTAACCCAGAGAACCTGTGTTAAACCCTATCTTTCAGTGTTGTTCCCAGGGTGAAGTGAGGTGCTGTGTGGTTGTGGCTTAGTTCAGGAACCACTGATAGCTGCTGTGCAATGTGAAAAATTCCTGAAGAAGATCGAGGTCTGGGAAAATACGAGGCATGGAGCACCTTCACCACCTCCACTGTGAGCTTTCACTTGGCTCTAGGCCTCAAGTCAGAGAACCCATAGAATTTTGTTTTTCGCTTGAACTTGAATTGCGTTGCAATTTGAAGGAAAACATTTTATTTTAAAACTTAAAGCACACACCCTCCAATTTGTTGCAGGTAACGAAGACGGGCACATCCACGTGGCCTCTTTGCAACAAATGAAAACCGTGACAGAGCAAGTGGGACAGGATGGGGGAAGCCTTGCCCTTTCCCAGGTGGCCAAGGCCCCGGGGACGTCGCAGCCACAGCTGCCCAGCCATGTCCCCGTGGGACCCCAGGAGCCCTCCTTCGACTCTGGAATCCTGAGGATGATGTCGCGGAGAGATGTCCGGGCGGAGATATTCCTGTGGAGCTTCCTGAGGTGGGCTGACACCATAGAAATGGTGCGTGTGGCCGGGCACCCCGCTGTGTACAAGTCGGGCTGGCTGTACCCGGTCTACATCTTCAGTTTTCTATCTGTTCTTCGGATTGTATTCACTCCTGAAAACCCTCTTCTCAGTTCCCTGGGCGTCCTGCTGCAGGACTTACCCTTTGTTTTTGTTAGGTTTACTTTAGTCATCGCTCTGGGGACCATCACTCCCATTTTAGGCCTGTGCAAAAATGTCCTGGTGACTCTCTCTTATGTTTACTTCAATTATTTAACCAGATTCAGGCCTTTCTCTAGCTTGGAAACATCTCTGTCTTAAAAAGGACATGTGAGTTAGGCAGACTTCTTCATTATGGTTATATGAACATTTGTGATAACATTTTTTCTGGGCAAAAGCTTTGGCACTATACAAATAAATAAAAAATAGATTGTAGTGAAGAAACCATTTTTAATAACTAGTTTATCAGTTTTGTTGTTGTTGTTTTTTTGAGACAGGATCTCACTGTAGTTGAGACTGACCTGGAACTCACTATGTAGCCAGGCTAGTCTGGAACTCACAGAGATCCTCCTGCCTCAGCCTCCCGAGTGCTGGGATTAGAGGTGTGTGCCACCATGTCCAGCCTGCTCATCAGTTTTTTAATGTTTACATGCACGTGGTGCTAAATTCAAACAAAGTTATATCCTGGGAAATTAGCTCCATTGGCCTTTAGAAAATATTAGCAATTAGTTTAAGTTGTGTATATTACACTTTTTTCTAAAAAACAATCTTTAATGAAGCCTTTTAAAAAAATGAGGGCGTGCTTTTCCTGTAAGTTAAATAAGAGTTTTTAGAAAACAATACCTGAAATTATCAAAGTTTTAGATTTTTCTTATTTTTAAAATCTGAAAATTTTAATTTTAGTATCTCCTTCAAACACAGAATTAAATTCTTTTTGGTTTTGAGTTTTTTGCATTTGTGTCTCTTTTGGTGGTGATCAGAATTTTAGTTTTAGCTTACAAACAATGTCTCAAGTTACAACCCCAAATGCCTGCTGCTTGTGCTTCCAGATAGTCTCAGATGCAGATTTTGTCCTTACAGAGTCCTGGAAGGAACATGACAATATCCTTTCCCATGTGGGGCTAACTGAGAAATCCTGGCCTAGCATCTTTCTAAGGACCCTGAGATCTGCCTGTGTACAGGAGAGAGACTTTGAAGGCCGTGTAGAGGAGCCTGAGCCTTCTTGACCAAGTTGAGTGACAATCAGTCAATGGGAACAAATTGAATTCGTTAAGTCAAGGGTCCACTGTACTCTAGCAGATACAGGACTCAGTGTAAAGCTTACTGTCTTTTTTTTTTTTAATTTATTTTTTATTTTTTTGGTACTGGGGATCGAACTCAGGACCTTGTGCTTTCAAGGCAGGCAGCGGAACCACTGAGCAAATCCCAGGCCCCTACTGTCTTGCTAGTATTGAAGCACTGAGATGAAGGTTGTTTAGAATAATGAAATCAAGGTGCATCAGGAATACCCAGGTAATGTTTATAATCGGAAGCCATAAAATGAAGATGTGGGTTTCAAAGTATAAGAACATTTAATGTGTGGAATTTGATACTCTCGTAAAAATAAAGCCCAGCAGATGCCCTATTTAAAATTCTGAGTTCAGCTTTACAAATGTATTAACAAAAGGGCTTCAGGAGGTACTGTATTATGGAAACTGATGCTTTAAAAATCATTAAATCCATAACCACGGAACTCTCCTTTCCTGCACTGGAGCACTCTTGATACAGCAGAGTGTGAATTTTTCAAATGATAATGACAAATTGCGAGTATTTTAGTGATATCAAGAAACACGTACCTAAATACATTGCTTTAATTTTCCTGTCTTATTCTTTTCTGTATCCCTGCTTGCCTTCTGGGAATAATCCTATAAACCTTGTATTTGTGCAAAATAACACACAAAGTCTTTTTTTTTCTCCTTTGTTTTGTTTTTATGGTACTGGAAATTGATATCATGGAGCACTGAGCTACAGCCTCAGAGCTTTTCATTTTTTGACAGGAGCTTCCTATATTGACCTTGAACTTGTGATCAGCCTGCCTCAGCTTTCTCAATTGCTGGATTTGAGGTGAGAGGCTTGGAGACCAGAACTTATAGCACGTTTTAAAGACTTTCATCTTGTGTTTGTTTTCTTGGGCTTCTTATTCATCTGCAACTACATTAATTAATGGAAGGCTGGGGGTAGTTTGTTTCACAGTGAGTCTTTACCTTTATATGTTAATCCTATAGGGACTTACAAAACAATGTTAAAAATAAAGAATATATAATGCAAATAATTTCTTTCAAATTCTTCCTTGGCAATCTTTTATTTTCATGAAGAAAAGCATGTAAATAAGTAATTTGTAATGTTTCTACTTCAGGAAGATTTCATGCGAGTGTATATGTATTTTGCATTGGAAGTATAAACAGTGCTTGGAGAAATTTAAGGGCGTGTATGTCTGATAGCTGAACTGAATGTGCCTGATGTTTGGGAGTGGCGGCGCTGTGTAAATAATGAAGGCATGCACCAAAGATTATGTACAGGAGGAAAAGTATCGATACCTAATTTATTTATTTTTTTCTCTAGGTTTTTACTTGGGTACTTGAGCTTGCAAAGCAGACAGCGGAACCCCTGAGCTAAACCCCCGGCTCGGGTACCAATTTAATTTGAGTGTATACATGTTTATAACGTTCAAGCCCAAGGTATTGAATAGGCATTGCAGTAAGCCGTGCTGAGTACCATTCATTCTATACTGTGTAATCCATAGTTACATTCTAAAAATTATATTGCGATTCTCAGAGCTCCTCAAGGTTATTGGTACTAAGGTCCCTGTAATGTTTTTGTCCTAATAAACGGTTTCGTTTTTCTGCTCCGTAAAAATATGTTTGCAAAACCCGGCCGGGTCTGTGATAAGTCTATGGCACTTCATTCCAAGTAAAATTTGGAGCCCAATTGGTAAACGTCTTCATTAAATGTTAAGTTCATTCTAAAGTTAGGTGTTGAAAGAGTTAAAAAAATTTTTTTTTTCTGTGATCAGACTATTTTGTACCATCTGAATTTTTAAATAAAAATCCCTTAATAGAGTCGTACGTGCCTTTTCTTTCTAAAGCTTGATGTTTGAAATTACAATACGTAAGTGTAACAGACTTTTTAAAAATATTTATTTATTTATGGTACCGGGGGTCAAACTTGGGGCCTTGCGCTTGCAAGTTAGGCCGCAGAACCACTGAGCTAAATTCCTGGCTCTAAAATTTTTTGTTTTTTGAGAGGGGTTCTCACTAGGTACTTCCGGCTAAGCCTGAACTTGCTCTGTAGCCCAGGCCGGCCTCAAATTCTTGTTGATTCTCCTGCCTCAGCCTCTCGAGTGCTGGGATTACTGGTGTGCACCGCTATGTCCAGCCTCTTCTTTTTCGTCTAATGACGTCATGTCACTGAGGGAGAATCACAGTGAGGTTAGGAAAGGAGAGAAAAATGAAACAGTTTGTGAATGGCTGCTCTCTGCTAAGCACTGGACTATTTGCTTGACAAGTGAGCAGCTGTGGTTTTGGAGCAAGATCTGATTCGGTGAACCTGTCATTAGCTTTCCTCATCATAGACATTAAAATACGTCTTGAATTAAACTTCAGAGAAAAATAATTTACCGCTTAGAGGCCGTAGGGCTTAGTAATAGTCTCGCACCCCATAGAGGACAGAGTGAATAATAAAAGCGGAAGTGCATGCAGGGTCTACAGTGGTAGCCATCTTGTTTCACAGAGTAGTTATTGTTATCCGTCAGTCAAAACCCTATGGCCCAGGCTTTCCTCCATTTTCAGCTTCCTGGCTGCTTGTCTCTCCATCTCCAACTTCTAGGCTCTTAGAGAAAGTCATGGACACCTGGCACACAGGAAAAACACTTTGCCTTCGAAGGAATGTTTAAAGCCTGGCATGGGGTGCACATGTGTAATTCCCAGCACTTGGGAGGCTGAGGCAGAAGGATCACCATGAGTTCGAGGCCAGCCCGAACTACATAGTGAGAGCTTGTCTCATCGAACCAAAAAGATAAATGGATTTTAGAAATTTAAAAATTTAAAAAAAGATATCTGGGAAATGAAATCAGAGCACTTGTGCCTAGCAGTTTTATTACATGAAAGGTTGGTAAACAATGGGATGTTTACAGGAGTTTGTATGCATATTTCCATTTTTCAACATTTTATTAATATATTCAACAAATTTGATTACCTCGGATAGACTAGGTATCATTTTTATGAATAAGTAATCCATTTAAAAAGTCTTAATAAAATGGGTGAAATTACTTTAAAAAGTAGTTTAGTCTCAGCCAGGAGTGGTGGGCCACACCTGAGATCTCAGCACTAAGTGTGGCTGAGGCAGGAAGGTTCCAAGTTCAAGCTCAGCCTGGGCAACTTAGTGATTTGCTGACTCCCTGTCTCAAAGAAAAAAAAAAGTTTAGTCTTAAATATATCACAATTAATTTTATGTGAATTTAAAGATGTATTTACTACTAATATTTGCAGTAAAGTTGGCATTTTATATAGTGTATACACAAATCGTATGTTTCCAAGATATAGTATATCTATTTAAAAAACTCATAATTTGCCTTAGACTGACATTGAAATATTAATGGATTTTTCAGGAATGTCTTCTCTTCCTCCAAAAATTTTCCTTTTAAAGATTTAGTTTGGATGCCTTAGAGAATAGCTATCCCAGAATAATAATTATTAGTCTTGAATTGTAGCATGAATAAGCATGAGATTCACATTCCAAATTGTTAAAAATTATAGAAAATATTATGTATTGGGTATAGTTTGGAGAAATAAGCCCAGCATTTTTGAGTCTTGACTTCTGTCTCTAAAGTGCAGGTAATGTTCCAATTACAAATAAATTATTATTTTATTCTTAATTTTTTCCAAATATTGAGTCCTACAGTGTTCTAATGAAATCAGTTTGTGAAATTAACTGCATTGTAAAGTTGTATGTCATGCCAGACTAAAAAGTAAAGCATTGGTTAAAGGACTGTCAAACTCACAGCCCTCCCCACTAGTCTGCATCTGAATATTGTAGATTATGATAAATCTAAATATACTCTCTGAAGACAATTATAATTAAAGCCACATATTAGATAATTAAACCAATGCAAAGGAATTTGATTAAAAGAATGTAATTCTTTTCTGTTAAACTGTGTAAATTACTGGTGTTTTACTCTATTTTGGTAAGGATCAAAAAGTATGTGAAATAACATAAAATAGTGTTTTATGGCATAAATCCTAAAATTTGTGCTCAACTACATTATAATATTTTCTCTTTTTTTTTTTTTCCTCTAGAGTAGGAATTACCTTGGTACCATTTGAGCACATTCGCCTATTAAAAGATAGGCCAACTTAATTAGAGAAATCTTCTGAAGGAAGCACTACTTTTATTTGTGAAAAATAGTACACGGGGATATTTTCTTTGATGGGCATCTCTTTATTAAGAAACTTTTGCATTATTTGCAATAGGTCACAGGCAGAGACCCTGGGTGGAGCGCATCTATCACAGCCATTTTTTTCAGTAGCCTCTGCTCTCTTTTCCCAGTACCCTGTGCATTTTTTCTCCAGTAGCCTGTGCACTTTTTTTTCCAGTGGCCTGCGCTGTTTAAAAATTGTCCCAGGCACTCTTGCGTTCAGCAAGTGCTGCCCTGATCAATTAGCAGCGTGAAGATTGGGATTTGCTGAATCCTCACAAGACCATTAGCACTTTTTCTTTTAGCAAGAAAGTGTTTTAAAATTAAGGTATGTGCATTTTTTTCAGTCACTGTGCTCTTCTCTTGCACACTCAATAGGCACATTGTAAGTATAACTCTTACAGTTGGAAGACAAAACTTGGTGACATTACCTTTCTCGTGACATTCACTTTAGTGCAACAGGATACCAAATAATTTGTTCAGCTAATTTCCTTGGAACTATTTGAGGGCAGAGCAGACAGTAAGTTCATCATATGTGGAACTCAGTGTGTGTCATTTGAGGAAGGAGGAAATGACATAGTTCAGCTGTTGTCTTGCCAGTAACAAATGAACAATTAAAAAAGATTTAGCTTGCAAGTAAGAATAGACAAAATCAACCACCATCCTTAATCGCTGACCGGAAACTCGAACAAAAAATTAGTAGAAAGACGTGAAGAGAATAGAATGGGATTGTTAATAATTGTGGTAAAATATGCATAACATAATTTACCACTGGAACTTTTTTTTTGCTGTACAATCCAATAGCTTTTACACACATTCACAATGTTAACTATTGCCACTATTTCTAGAACTTTCATCATGCAAAAAAGATCCTCTATACCCATTAAACAATAACTCTCCATTCTCCTTTGCCTTCTACCTTCTCACATTTTGATAAGCTCATTGCTTTCTATTTCTGTGAATTTTCCTATGTTATACACCTCAACTAAATGGAATCGCACAATATTTTCCTTTTATGTCTGGCTTTCACTTGGCCTAAAGCTTAAAGGTTGTATATATTGCAGAATTACTTTTTATGGCTGTATAATATACCATTACATGTATATACTGCATTTTGTTTACACATTTTCTGATAGACACCTGAGTTGCTTTTACCTTTTGACTATTGAAAAATAATACATCTTTAAACACGAGTGTACAAATATCTATATATCTATATTTATATAAATAAATAAATAAATAAAATATATATGTCTTGTCATTCCTTTGGGGTGTATATTTGGAAGTGGAATTACCAAATCAGATGGTCATCTATATTTATCTTAGTGAAGAACTGCCCAACTGCTTTCGATAGTGACTATACCAGATAACATCCTCAAGGCCCACCCGTCCCATTTCTCCAGATGCTCACTAACACTATTTTTGGACTGCTTTTGATGCTAGTCATATTTTTAGATGTGGAACAGTATCTTACTGTAGTTTTGATTTTCACCTCCCTAATGGCTCGCGATGTTGAGCACCTTGACAGGTGTTCGTTGGGCATTTGCAGATCTTTGTTAGAGAAATGTCTACTCAGTTCTCTGCTTTTTTCTTTTTAATTGGTTAAGTTGTAGTTCTTTATATATTGTGAGTATTAATCCTTTATCAGATGTATGATTAAAAGTATTTTCTCTGATTCCACGGGTGATCTTTTCCTTCCCTTCATAGTGTCCTTTCACATATAAAAGTCTATTTTTTTCTTGTTGCTTGTGGTTTTTATGTCATACCTAAGCAATCACCATTAAATCCAATATTATGAAAAATTTCCTGTTGTTTTCTTCTAAGAGCTTTATAATCAATCTTATCTCTTTGATCTATTTTGGGTTGATTTTTGTATAAGGTGTAAGAATGTGATTGTACAATTTCCCTGGCATCATTTGTTAAAAACACTCTTCTTGAGCAAGTGCGATGGCTCATATCTGTAATCCTAGTACTCTGAGAAGCTGAGCAGGAGAATTTCAAGTTTGAGCCCATCCTAGGCAACTTAGTACTGTAGCAAGAACTTATCTCAAAATTAAAAAAAAAAAAAAAAGAAAATTAAGAAGGGCCGAGGATGTAGCTCAGTGCAAAGGACCTGGGTTCAATTCTCAGTACTGCAAAAGAAAACCAAACCTCCCCCCTACATCCTTACAATAAACACCAAAATACAAAAAATACTGTTTTTTTTTCCTATTTAAATGATCTTGGCACTTTGTGAAAACTCAATTGGCAACATGTATTAGGGTTTATTTCTAAGGCCTCTATTTATTCCACTGGCCTAATATGTCTGTGTTTATGTAATTATCACACTGTTTAGATTACTGTACTATAGTTTTATTGTAAGTGTTGAAACCAGGAAGTATGAATCCACCAATGTTCTTTTTAGGGACTGATCTGGTTATGTGGAACTTCTTGAGACTCCATGTGAATTTTAGAATGGGTTTTTCTATTTCTGCAGCAAACACTGTGATTTTTGTTAAGGACTGCATGAATCTGTAAATTGCTTTGATCACCTTATCAATACGAAGTCTCCCAATCCATGAATCCAGGATATCCTTCCACTTATTTAGACCTTTAATTTCTTTCAGGAATGTGCTGTAGTTTTGGGTATAATTTGTTTTGGGTTTTTTTTTTTTTGCCTCTTTGGCTAAGTTTATTGTTAAGTATGCTATTGTTTTAGATGCTATTTAAATTGGATTTGTATTTTTAATCTCCTATTTGTTCATTAATGGTGTATAGAAATGAAACTGATTTTTGTGTTTTGATTTTGTATCTTGAAACTTCGGTGGGTTTTATGGGCTTTACCAGATTTGTATGGAAGCATTAGGACTTTCTACATATAAAGTCACATGACCACATGTATGCAGAAAACTATCTTTCTTTCCAATTTGGATGCTTTAAATTTATTTTTCTTGCCTAATTGCATTTGCTCAAACTTCTAGTATTGTTATATACAAGTGTTTCTGTAGAAAAAAAAATTTTTTTTTCCAGAAGAGAAAGTAGAATGAGTTTGCAGTGCAAATGCAGTTGTAACCTTTTAGCCAGTTTTACCTTTTCAATGTTTGGGACGAGTTTTAAGTTGCTTTTTTTGAGGGCATTTATTCAGTGTGACTGTGGGTCTTACTTTGTATTCTGATGAAGAAAATAGTATTTGAGCCATCACTAAGTAGCTGAGTTAGTGGGAAGGTTCATCTACCCACTATAGGGATTGCAGTAATCATTTACTTATGTGAGATTTTTAAAGGAAACTAAAAATACCCAATTAGTAAATGAATGTAACAGTGAAAATGTCACACACATCCGGATTGCAACTCATCTCTTTGGGTGGCAGTTTGCTCATTTTTCTGCTTTTAACCATTGAGACTCTCTGGTACTCTGGCTTGGAGTTTTGTTGAAAGGATTTATGTTGAGCCAGTGTCTGTGATGTAATATTCGTGTGCAAAATGAACTCTTAGTCCTTTGTAAACACGCAGTGTGCAGCCTGAGAGGGATCCTGTTGATGTGGAGTTGGTGCTATAATTTTAAATCATGCTGCAGTAGGTAAACCTGTGAATCGGTAAATCTGAAGCAGAGAGCTTGGAGTCAAGAATCAGCAGTCCCTCCGGGTCATGTGGTCACCGTATTGCCTCCAACCCTTTGGTATTGCACAGTGATTTTTGTTCTTGCGAAAATTTCTTCCGTATTCAAGTTGTGTAAATGTGTATGGAACACTGACAATATTAGTTTTACATGGCAAAAAATAAGTGATAGAAGCAATCAAAACCACCAGTCATCCTTCAGACCACACAACCCTAGTAATCTATAGGGTAAGGTCCTCCTCATTATCCATCCTAGTTCAAGCAAGGGCACCAACTCCCCTCACGACAACCTGAGTCAGGGGTGGAGGATAAGGAATGGAGGACAGGGTCCTCCTAGGATGAGTCCCCCAAGAGGAAAGCTGAAATTCACTGAAATTCACCAGTCTCTTCATTATGTATCTCTCTATGTGCCCCAAGTTTTTGACACGGGTCATGTTCACCGTATTGCCTCCAACCCTTTGGTATTGCACAGTGATTTTTGTTCTTGCGAAAATTTCTTCCGTATTCAAGTTGTGTAAATGTGTATGGAACACTGACAATATTAGTTTTACATGGCAAAAAATAAGTGATAGAAGCAATCAAAACCACCAGTCATCCTTCAGACCACACAACCCTAGTAATCTATAGGGTAAGGTCCTCCTCATTATCCATCCTAGTTCAAGCAAGGGCACCAACTCCCCTCACGACAACCTGAGTCAGGGGTGGAGGATAAGGAATGGAGGACAGGGTCCTCCTAGGATGAGTCCCCCAAGAGGAAAGCTGAAATTCACTGAAATTCACCAGTCTCTTCATTATGTATCTCTCTATGTGCCCCAAGTTTTTGACTAGTTTCTAGAATCCCAAAATAGATACATTAGACAGTTCCTACCAGTTCAATAGTTTAGATGAAAGGATGAATTCTTGGAACTTTCTACACCATGAACTTTCTACACCATGATCTGAGATCTTACTTCCCCTGGTCACCTCTGACAAATCTGTTTCCATAAGGCCAAAGTCACAGGGGTAAAGAGTTGTGTGGGGAAGTTGGCTTCATGTTGCCTCAAAGCCATGGAGTTGACTACTGATTCGGATTTTTAATTACATAAATGTGATGGGACACACTTGTGTAGCTAAGAAAATCTGAGTATGGGTGTAAAGATGATTCAGTTGAATTATATTTCCTTTTGAAATCAGTATAAATCCAACCTGCAAAACTCTCAAGTCAAGATGACTTACTTACATTTAAAAGCTACAAGTGATTCATTAAAAATTCTCATTCTAACTCAGTAAAACAATGTTTGAGAATGAAAGAGTTTTGTTTCATCTGGTCTCTTTCCCAAGCAATGTTTTTGGTCTGTCAGGCATTGGCTTTATGAAAAAGAAATGCTGACCTTCTGTCCTACATTTTGCCATCTTTTTCTTCCTGTCATGATAATCTTAAATTTAGAATGTTAAAAAAAATCAGTGAGAGAACTATATCACAATATTTTTAGGGAATGAAGTTTGTAACTTTGCCACCAAAGATGGAGACTCTGTGGTGCTTTCTTCTCATTTGCAGATAAAATATTCATTTAAAAATTTAAAAAAACCCACAATGTTCCTGGTAGCTTCTTTTTCATTTACTAAACATTTCCCACACTCTAGTTATGGGCCAGCTATCTAATCATTAGTACTTGTTTCAAAATGTCCTTGATTCATATTTTACTTCCGAAAAAATAAAATAGATGTTGGAGGTTCAATATTGTGCTTCATGAAGGAGCTATTCACATTTTTTATTTAAATAAAGACTCTTGTCATGAAGTCAATAGACATCTTCTGTTGTAAAAAACAGATTTTCTTCTTCTCACTGGTGGACATTTCCAAATTGAGGGTGATCACTATGGTTGGGGCAGGGCAGCCACACTTTCTTGGCAAAGCTTTGCCACTATTTGCTCTGGCTTGCTAGGCAAAGGCTTCTAGAACTTTCTCCCTCTTGGTTTCCCTGGGATTTCATCTCAGATTTAGCTTCTCTTTCACTTTTCTCTAGGTAGAGGAGCAAAGCTCTATTTAAACTGTGTCTTTTGAAGTTTTCCAGGAAAAAAAGGGGTGGGGTGGGGTTCCAAGCACTCAGTATGGAGAATGAGATCAGTTTCCCCTCTTAAGTACAAGTCTCCCTGATGAAATCTGTCCTCCATGAAAACTATCCCCCGTGAAAACTGTTTCCATGAAAATTGTTCCCCAGGAAAATGGTCCCCCATGAAAACTATCCCCTCAAAAATTGTTCCCCAGGAAAAACTGTCCCTTTTAGTGCCTGCTGTTTTCTTTTGAGTGCATAGAGTGCATTTGAGTGCTGTTTCCTTTTCTCTGCATAGAGACTCCTGACTCACTGCTTCCTAGAGAAGCACCATTAGCAGCAGAGAGGTCTTGGCCCAGTCACTTCCCTGAAGGCCTGGCCAGCCGTGCCTCCCTCCCCGATGTCACCCCTCTCCTACATGTGTGCCTTTCTCCCCTTCCCCCTGTGCCTGCCCTTCTCAGAAGTTAGCTTACGAAGCAAAGCTGTAACTTTGAATTCCTGTTTTTCTAACCACCCTCATGTGACAGGATATCTCCTTACTGGCGGGTTTTCCTAAATTCAGGAACCCTTTAAAAGGGACTGCTTCCTTCGGCCTCCTTTTTACCCTGGGGACCTGGGCCAGGCTGGGGGGGCTCGCAGGGGCCCTGTGTGTTTCTCTTTCACGTCTTCCTTTCCATCCGTGGAAGAAAAGGATACACCCTGTACCATGAGGCTGTCCCTACTCCTGGGGTTTGTCTCTGTCATTCCTGTCGCTGTGCAGCTCCTGGGTAAGTCAGCTGTGAGGTGGGGATTTTGCGGCATAGGGGCCTGGGGTGCACTTTCCTTCCTCGTTGGGGTTAACGCTAAGAGGCCGGGGTACACCTGTGAGAGGAGACCACGCCTCCCTCACAGCACCTGTACTCAGGTGCAACCTCCGTCTGCACCTGGCCTCCAGGTTCCGGAGCTCAGCAGGGCAGCCGCTTCGCTTCGCAGGTGGAAGGAGCCTCGTAGGAGCCCTGGTTCTGCGGCTTTCTCTCTCCCCAGCTTGTGCAAGGATTTCCTGCTCCGTGGTTTGCAGCTCACCGGATTTCCACCTAACTTTCTGAGGGTCCCTGGTGGGGAGGAGGAGGAAGAGGGGGAGATTCTCTTTCTCTCACACCGATTCCATGTGGTTTCCACACTCATTTTTTTTCCTGTGAACCGTTTTTAATCATTTTATAACTTTTATTGCTTTATCTGTATTCTAATTTGGTCAAACCGTCTCATAAGCAGATGCATTCAGTTTTAAGTTGTGTTTGTCTGAAGCCGGACGATTGCTTGTTAGGGGCAGATTCGGTGCTTTGATGCTATCGGGTCTTTCTGTTTCTTAGACTCAACCTGCTGAAGCTTCAGGGGCAGTGCCTGGGAGAATTTTCATTCCCAGTTCTCTTTTTAGATGCTTTACAAGGGATTTCAACTTCGGTGGGTCTTGTTGTTGCTGTTCTTCCTCTTCCATCTTTATTTCCACCAATCCACTACGGGGGAGCAGAGTTTGTCCCTGGGGCCCTACTGAGAGCCCTGCTGTGACAGGGCCAGGAAGCTCCCCTACAGCTTGTTGGACCAGAAAGGACTGAATTCTAAGAAGCATTAAGAGTAGTGATTATCAAACTATGAGCAATGTGTGGCTTGTACCCTGCCTCTGCCGCTTGCTAGCTGTGTGGCCTCGGGCAGTGACGTCTTTGCGCTTTAGTTTCTGTGTCTGTAAAGTGGGGAGAATAATATTTCCTGCCCCAACAAGGGTTGTGGTGGTATCCTGATGTGCTTGGTTAAGTGTCAGCTGTGAGAAGAAGGGGCTTCCTCCTCTCCTGCAACAGAGATTAGCTTTCCAGTACAAGCAGGATGTTAAGCACGGAAAGGTGAAGTTTCTGTAGGACGGCATGCTGCAGAGAGATACCTCAGTCTCTGGAGGCTGTGCAGCCGTTTTCTCAGCTGATGGTGGATGCTGGAGAAGGGGTCCTTGATTGGCCTCGAAAAGGCCATAGTATAGCTGAGGCCAATCCCTGTCTCTGTCTTTTCCAATATTTCTATGCTGTGCAAGAGAATTAAAATATTCTCCAGACCCGAGGGTTGTGTTGTCTCTGACAGAGCAGTAGGTTTGCTGTCACAGAGGCCTTCAGATGCCAGTTAAACAAGTTGAGACCTGGACCCCTTAACCCAGTCCGGTCCATCAGGAAGAGTGTGCATAATGTAGGCACATTAAAACGAACTAAGAAGACAGCTGAAATTGATTTTATTATACTGTATTTTATTTCGCTCACTATGGCCAATCTAACCATTCAATGTTGAATCAATGTAAAAACTATTGGGATATTTTCACATTCATTTTTTTATCTTTATGAAGTTTATCGGTAACTTTTAGGTATACAATACAGTTACATTCATCATCGGGACCTTGTACTTTCACATTCACTTTTTAATTTTATTTTTCACATTTGCTTTTAAAAATTAACTCTTCTCCCAGCCCTGGAGAGGCTGAAGAGGGAAGGTTGTGGGTTTGGGGCTGTTCGGAGTTACACAGAAAACACCTTGTCTCCAAAGAACCAAGAGAGAAGACCAGGTGGTTTCTGCACTCATTTTTTATTTTTTCCTGTGAACTGTTTTAAATCACTTTATAATTTTTTTCCACTTACAGCATGCTCAATTCACACGCATCTCACTCTAAGCCTGCAATGGTCACATGGGGCAGCAGATACAACTCTCATTTTTTTTTTTTTAAACTGACTCAATGCTTTTGAGCAAGAAATATTTCTCAATTTTCTTAGGAATTTTTGCCTCCCTGAGACAGCACAATGCCTCTCGCTGACTAATGTCTTCCCCTTCCTGGGCATTGATACCGGGAGGCAGAGGGCAGTATTGGAGAACTGTTTACTCAGAGAATCCAGAGCAAAGAAACAAACAAAAAAGGACAAGAGAGCTCCTTCCAAAATTTTTGTTTTACTCCACAGCCCATGATCTCAGTTTATCTCTCCTCAGCCCAAGTAGCAGATGAGAGGGATCTGGGTGAAAGTGGGACATGGGGCTGCCAGAACCCCTGCCCTGGCTTCCTCCCCACTGAGAGAACCCCAGGAAGCCTCTCTCCTCACTTCCGGTTGGTGTGTTTCTTTTCAACCCGGGGCCCTTTCTTCCGCCCTGAAGTAGCATCCCACTCCGTTGGGCCTCCAGCGGGATGGTGCCCCGGCTGGATCTGTACCTCGGAGTCCAGGGAATCTGACAGAGGGGCCGCTTGCCCTTCTTGCCCTGCTATGCTTTCGTCCTCGCTGCCAGCCCTGGGGCCTCAGGATTGTGGCCGCAGTAGGGGCGCGGAGAGCGGGACCCCGAGGTGGGAGCACAGCAGGGACATTTAGCCTGGAAATGAGGGGGTTTGCTTCATGGGGAGCAGCACGCTGGTAACCTGAACAAGTTGCTTGCAGGAGGAAAATGAAAAGGCACTGATTTGATTTGTGGTGTTTGCTGATTTCCAGGATGAAAGATTTCCGTGATGAGGCTGCCAGTGGATTGGCCTGGAAGGGCAGAGCAGGGGCCCTCTCCGCCCAGGCTCTCGGGTTGCGGCTCTAACGGGGCTAGAAGGAGCCCAGAGCAACGGTTAGCTTTGCAAACCCCGAGAAAGTCTCAGTCATTCAAGCAAGAGCAAACTGGGAAGTCGGGTTTGGCGGGGTCTCTTTACAGGCTCCAGGGCCCTGCTCTGGCAGGCAGGAGGGGACCCCGTGCTTCAGCCTGAGCTCTTCCCTTCCCCATCTGCCTTTACATTTCTTGCAGTAATTTACGACTGGCTGGGAAGAACCAGGCTGGCCCTGCCGGCCCTAGCTGAGGGCTCAGAGTGAGTAGGAAGCCACCGCATTGTGATTTTGACCCCGATAAGTGCCCCAAAGTGTAATCCCGATGCTCTTGTTCTTCCTGTTTGATGTTCCTCGCCTGAATGCTAAAGGAACAGAATCGTCATTAAAGTGGCATCGTCACCACGGTATTGAAACTCGCCGCCACTCTTGAAAACTTTCATTTCAGTATAAACATATCTCACAACCTCGATTCTTAAGTGTTTATTTTTCGCAAAATCCAATTAAGTGGGAGAGAAGCACCAGTCCCTCACTTCCGTTTATTTGTCTGCACGCTCGGTTGCATAGCTTTCTCCCGGCTTTTTGCGTTCCTATCTGTACCTCATCAGTGTAATATGCGCTTTAAGCTGCAAATATTGAGCACAAATAACTGTAGTGGAAACGCAGACCTCGGGGACCCCAGCTCTGTCCAAGGCATTCGGGGAGGTGTCACTTTCTACCTTTTGCTAATTGGGAACTCAAAACTCTAAAAAGAGAAAGAGTTGCAGAAGGTCCTTGTAGCAAGGGCTAGAGCTAGCTCTGGACCCTGTTTTCTTCACCGCCTCCTCCTCCTCCTCCTCCTCCTCCTCCTCTTCCTCCTTTTTACTATTATCCCATGTTTACAGTACCAAACAATGACACACGTGATGAGGAGACGGTCCCTGTACATAACCCGTCTCCATTCTTTCTTTTTCCAATCCCCTTCCCTTCTCCTCCCTTCCCCCTCCTCCATCTCATGGTCCCCTTCCCCTTTGCAAAAGATCTGGCTCCGTTTCCTATCTTATTTTGCTCTTTGATTTATTTATATTTTGGGACTCCCATGTAAAAGAAATCATGCGATATTTCAGCTTGTGTGTCTGATTTATTTCATTTAATATTATGGTCTCAAGGTGCATCCATTTTCCTACAGATGACTCAAGTTTATCCTTCTTTATGGTAGCATAGTACTCCATTATGTGTAAATACCACATTTTCCTTGTCCATTATCTGCTGGTGGGCGTATAGGCTGCTTCCAAGATTTAGCTCTTATGAATCATGCTGCTGTAAACATAGGTGTGCATGGATCACTGTTACTCTGATGACTTTAATTCCTTTAGGAAGATTCCTTGAAGAGGAATAGCTGGGTAGAATGGAATTTATTTATTTATTTATTTACTTACTTACTTACTTATTTTTCTTTTTGAGAAATCTCTACCCTGATCTCCATAGTGGCTGTACTGGTTTACATTCCCACCCACAGTGCTGGAGTTTCCTTTTTCCCTCCAGCCTCACCAGCGTGTGTTCGTGTTTGATGTCTTGATGTTGGCCACTCTTTCCGGGGTGAGATGGAACTTCAGTGTTGCTCTAACTTGTGTTTCTCTGATGGCCAGTGATGTCGAGCATCTCTTCCTGCGTTTGCTGGCCATTTGTCCTTTGTGAGAAGCGTCTGTTCTTTCCGTTGCCCGTGTTCTCTGACTCAGGCTGAGAAGTAGACAGAATTTAGCAGCCGGAGCATGTCAATCATGAAAGACGTCCTTGTGGATCAAAACAACAGTAGGCTAAGAGAAGGGCTTAGATTCCTTTACTTGCATCACGGTGTTTGGATTTTTTTTTTTTTTTTTTTTTTTTTT